GTTATTTATTACACGTTAATCATTATTTATTATCTGTTATTTATATTCATTATTTATTTTCTATTATTTATTACACATTAATCATTATCTACTTTCCGTTACTGTTAATTTTTCACCTTTGTACCAAACATGCGGAAACCAATGATTTAGAAAGTTTTGCATTTCCTCTTGCTTACTCTCTTGGGAGGCTTATTAAATTCTGTGAGTTTCAGGGGAAGCGCACTCGAGGCAATCTTATCTTCAAGCTTCTTCGTCAATTTTACCACGCTGGCCATGCCTTTCCTTGCGGCTGCATGATATTCTGGCCGACGGCTCATCATCTTGCGATCAAGGGGCCAGTATGCAAATGGTTCAAGCTTGTCCTTCCTCTTCACATCCCCACCTCCCTTCTTGCTAGCATACTCACCTCCAGTGTAAGCCCACCCTGACTCTGATGTTTTTCTTCGCTTCTGGGTCTTCTCTGTAGAGCCAACAGAGAAGAGACTCAAGGCTTCACTCCTTGTATCTGAATCGGGTCAGAGAGTGGAAGTGTGGAACCTTCTTTGGTTTCCCTCCATCATGAAGTATCGAGCGCCCTTCTGAGTCAATCTCAGGCTCATCATCTGAATCATGCTTCTGCTTGAGTTGAGAAGATGGAAGAGCTGACCTTGTTTTATGCTGATCAAGCAAGTCTAGCTGTCCAGGGGCTCGTCTTCTAACTGATCAAACAAGTCTTCAGGCAAGCTCTTATCAGCTCTACGCTTTTTCTTGGTCCTGGTCCAAAAGGAAGGTTACATCAGTTGAGATAATTTACAGTGGAGACACAAAGGTATGGATATATGTAGTAAAGCTCTTATCCACAAACACCACAAGCATATGATTTTATTCTTTTATTATTGCCTTAAAGGAGTGTTTCAACCAGTTAAGAATTTGAGATTTTAAATTAAAAATCTTGAATTTAAACTTTGGATTGAGTTTAAACTTTGGAATGAGTGAGGAGGAATTCAGAAGGGAAGGGTGTCCCCTATTAAAGAGTCCATCATGTAACGTACTTAGAAAAAGAAAAAAACAGATTCTCCTACTAGTACTACTACAGAGAAAAACACAACAAATGCAAATGCAAAGTTGCAATACCCTCTGTGATGCTACAGTTCTCATGACCCAATTCTAGTGTTTGACACAGCTACATGTCCAACATGTATACTTCTAAAGTTTTATTAGATTTTACCATTAATTTCAAGGACTTTGAGAAATACCAATCAAGGATTTTCACCTCAATGTTTAGCTTCAGATTGATCAGTCAATCAACATAATCAAACACAATAAACATGCAAACATTCAATAACCGACATTATTAATAATAACCTTAAATATTGGCAATCAGATGTACTGGAACTAAAGAGCTTGGAAGTAATCATTAACATAAAATATAGGGCAGATTTGAAGTCTGTACTGTAACAATGAAGCCTTGGATTTCAGTCGTTTAGAAACCCAGCTCCTCCTCCTGGGAATTGTAGTCTCAGAATCGATGTATTCTCCGTCACTATCCTCTGTTCCCTCACCAGCAAAATCAGAAAATACTTTTGTATGATTCCACCTGCTAACCCTGCACCCACAACATAAAAGAAAAGAGTAATGATGGTGGGGATGAAGGAATAGGATGAAACTATGGGGCGAATGATGTGGCATAAGTCACATCATTAAATAACATAAGGTTGTCTACTTTTTATATTTTAAATGACGTGTCTTATGTCATACTATTGGTTTTAAATTTTAATATTATCTATCAATATTCAACAGAAAATCAAGACAGTGCATATAATTTTGGCAAAAAAAGGAATCAGTTTGCAGTCAAAAAGATTATAGAACTTTAATTTGCCAACATCTGAATGCGATGGTCAATTTCCACCCAGCAACCGAAGCAAAGAGAGGTTCCTAAGCATACATAAACTGTTCACAGCATGCATATATGATTTACCAATGTTATGACTCATAAAGTAAGAAGTATGAAACCTTGATATAGTTGCTTTTGACAGCTGAGATTTACTTTCCACAGAATTTGCTGAAAGTTTCCCCTCTTTCCGCTTCTTGATCTGTATTTATACATGTATGAAGATCTCCCTCATATTCAAAGCATCAAAATTTTTTTTCATAACAATATAGATTCTGTCCACAAACCTTTCGTATGTTAGTAAGAAGTTTCATATGTTCTTCAGGCATCACAGTTTTAACAGCATCAAGACCACATTTCTGAGCAAGCATTTCAAGAAGAATCTTCACCTGCATATAAGGAAGTGTGAATTAGGAGAATTCTTACCGCTACAAGCCAACAACAAAAAGCACAGCATCAGCTTGGCAAATAATTGAAGTAGGCATGGAGACAATCATCCACCATACACCAGATCCAGGTGGATTTGTACGATAAACATCTAAGTCCAAATTCCATATAAAAATCAACACCTATATTGTAGTGTACTTCATATGCCAAAATTGAGAGAAGTCATCCCTAAAAATGCATAAGACAGCACTGCTATTTATATAATAATAGAATAAGTTCCCGCAAGAATAACTTAGTCAGTTGTCTCTAATGTAACAAATTGAACCAGTGCTACTTGTGTCAAGCTAAAGTTTACAAAAAGCACATGAATTCATAATTTGGGAAGATTATAGGTAAACACAAAAACAGGTTGATAAAAACTAATGTTTCACAGTACACAACACAGTCAATGGTTTAAAAGGGAAAGCGCAGACCTTCACTTTAAAATGGTTTTTGGTATCATCCTCCGAGCTTAACAAGCCTTGTACTAAGATTCCCAGGTGTGCTCCCAACTCTTGAGCCTGTGACTTTGCCACCAATACTTTTAATAAACCCAAATTAGCCTGTATTATAGAACACATGAGATTTGATTGAATAAACACTAGATTAACGAAGATGGGAAGAAACAGTGAATAATGCATGTGTTTGTTTGCTTGTGGGTACATCTCTGTGCCTGTGTGTGTGTCTGGATGAGGAAGAGAGAAAGGGAGAGAGCTAACCTTAATAATTTCTTTGTTTTTTCTCTGGATGAGGAGAAATGTGGACGGAAGTAACTTATACGCGGCCAATACAAGATCAGAAAACTCGTAAGCTAACCGAGCCAAGCCTTTTACTGCAGCACTAATCATGTGAGGAGTTTCTCCAGCCACACCTGCAGCAACCTGGGGTCACAAATAAGAAAAAATTATGCCACATGGCTGAACAATTCAAAATAGGAAACAATCAATTTGGTTAAAAAGAAGAAATTGTGTCTCAGATTCAATACCATGTTAAAAATTTGATGCAAGCTTTCTCTTTTCCCTCCGGTTTCTTCATCTCCACATGCACGGCCAATTTGGACAAGAACCTCGTAAGCTCTATTTCTTGTTTTCTTATTAGCCTGCATGGTTTTATGATAGAGAAGGAATTATCAATCATAAGGAGCATGATATTTGAAAAGCTATTGTGACAATATCTTCTTCTCAGCCTGCATACACTTTAAATAAACACAATATAATATTTTCCATCAATTTGAGTATTTAAAAATCATTCTCTCTTAAAGAGAAAGATACATCACATTATACCTGGCATCATGAACATGATCACTTGCCAGTCTAACAAAATTAACTAAAACAATATGGCTAACCAGAAGATAAGAATTTTACCTCTTCAAGAGCCAGTCTTATCTCACTTAGGAAAGAGCCAAGAATGACATGCCTCAGGTTCACTGACTCATTCTGTACCTGTAGAGAGGAACACTAGTCAATGCCCAATCAAGATTGCTACTAATACTAAGACCGTCCTTCATTCCTATAAACATCTTATGTTTATATAAATAGGGGAAGGAAAGGATTAAATCAGTAACCTTGGAGATATAAGCTATCAGATAGTAGAGACAATCAAGTCTGTGGCGTTTAACAGACAAGTGGCAAGACGGTAGCACTTCAATCATACGTTGAAGTAGTTCTTCTTCAAGCTTTGATGAAAGATACTCATCACAGTTCTAACCACAACAATACACAAAACACTCATTAAAAAATTTATTCTGCAAAATCAATAAAAGAATGAGAAGACTGGATGAAGGGTGCTGACCAAAAATACGGAAATAGAATGACTCTTGTTTCAAATATGGAGTAGAGAACAAAAAACCAAGTTTTTGCGATCAAAAGAAATACCCTGAGAATTCTTGAAAGAACTTTATAAGCCTTCTTCTGAATTATACCTTCAGCGTCCAGCAGTTGAAGAATAACACTTCATAATTTATAACAAAATGAATTTCTCCATTGTAAAAGATTGACAAACAGTTATTCCATGGACAAAAATGTTCTTATCACCAGCTAAAAGAGACATAAACAAACCTGCAATGCGGGCTTTATTGCATTGAATAAGGGATCTAATGCTTGCTCATCCAAACCAGGCAAAAGAGCAACTGCAAGGTCAAATTGCTGGGCCCTGCACTTAAGATGGATGACTAAGACTATCAAATATTTCAAAATCCCATCACAACTACAAATTGCTAAATATGGAACAAATTCAACAAAATAAAGAAATAGAGAACACCTTTCAATGGATGGTGAAGCTTTCATTTGTTGAATTCTCTGCTTTCTTAGCTACTTTGGTGACCTTCAAAAGTCTCTGCATTGTCTTCTTGTATATGCCTTTGATAACATTCTCATGTGCTATGGAAGCAAAATCCCCAAAGGTGGACTGTAATTTGTCATCAATATGCACTTAGATATAGCAGAAAGTAAATGAAAATTCTAAAATTACACACTACTTTCTAAGGAAAAGGGATTCCTCAGCATGCCGCTAATTCAATTTGAAAGTGGCCACTTGTCTCCACTAAAAATAAGAATGGATTCAATTGTTCAGGGTCTAATTTCAAAAATTAAAGTAATCCATGGATTAGTAGACATAGAAATGGTACCACCCTAAATTTCACATGATTCAGAACAAAGGAAAGAATGCAAACTGAACCATTTGCAGTAATTCAATCTCTAGATCATAAGATATATAAATGACTCAGAATAAACCTATTTACAACAACCAGAAAATGAATGAGTGCACTTTTATCAACTAGGATAGAGTAAGTACCAGTAAAGAACCACCCTCATCTGTTGTAGATTCCATGAAGACTTGTGACAGAGCTTATAGCAACTCAGGGGCAGATGCAGCAAGCACATTCAAATTATTTTGAGCAACCATTGGGGAATAGCGGGAAAAGGCTCTCTCCGTGGCAGGACCTACATCATTACTAGATAAATTATTATTTCCTTCCTTAATTTTCTTATTTTGACTAATCAGAATCTGCAAACTAGAGCATACTATTCCACGAATATCATGCCCTTCAGTCTTCACGAAGTGCTCCTATTAAAGCTCCCTATAGATCCTTAAAACTTTCAGCAGCATCTACTGGATAATTGCAAAATGAAGGTAACAAGGACCAAACAGAGTATACAAGAGCATCTGAGCTCCTTGAGGAAAAAATCCTTCCTTCTAGTTGAAGCTGCCAAAAATAGGAAGTAATTAAGAGATGATACACCTAATCTTAAATTTGAAAAAAGAAAGAATAAAACAAAACCGTTTGTACCTGTTGTGATCTCTGCCTCATCTTTCCAATCATACCCAATAAGGTGTCAGTGAAGAAGTTCAAATGGGCGCCAATAACATACTGCTTCAAAGTGGGAAACAGCTGAACATTTACTTCTGAAGGGTCATTAGCCTCCAGGTTCAGAGGTAAAAGACCCAAAAACGTCTCTGGACCCATTGCACCTGGAGCTGACCCAAGACATTCATGTAATTGCAAACTCACATACATTGAACAGGTCAATTAAAAAATTCCAAGTTAATAAAATAAGTAAAAGTCATTCTGAAGATAAATTGTGAAATTGCAAAGCCGGAGAGTGCAACATTTCTAGGAAGAAAACAAAGACATTAATACCAAATGGATGTTTCACAAGGTGATTGCCATTGGATAATACTTTCACAAGCGTCATTTATTTCAGCTTTTCATTTCTCATCTTATTCTCTCAAATATTAACAGTAAGGAAATTTCCAACCAGTAGCAGTCATCTTATATGTAAGATTATGAAAATTGTATTCAATTTCTGAAAGAGGCAACGGTTCTAAAGGTCAGAACTCTCCAACATGCCTACTTAGTGAATCATGAGATAATTACTCTAAATGATATCAAAATAAAGCATAAGACATCTTTTCAGTAATAGACATCAGAAAAATAAATAAATAAATAACAGGCGATCAAAACACAATCCACAAACTCTAGCCCTACAGAGGCTCAGTTCTATTACAAATGACAGTTAAACCATTAAATTTTACCAACCCCTGCCCATATGGTCCGCATAAAATAAATTGATGTGCATTAAAAATTCTGTAGAAAGCAAGTATTATAGAGACCTGTTTTCTGTAAGGAAAATCCTCATCTGAGAAACTTTGCATGTCTGCCAAATTCTTTATAGTTCCCTTCATAAAATATGAAGAATAATATCCTGAAACAAAATAATATGATCTGTGGATTCACTGAAGAATAGTGCCATCAAAAAACAATTCCAAACAAGATCTAAGGGGAAAAAAAAAAAAAAAAAAGCAACTGCAATCATTTACCTAACTTATCGAACATGGCTGAAATAACATTAAATGCCACATCCCAGACTGCGCTGTAGTGATAATTAAGTAAACTCTCCATAGTCACACATAATTTCTCCATGGTAGTTGGTCCAGGATTTATTGCATCCATGTTGGTATTTATAATCTGATCCACTCCTTGTTTGATCAAGGTCTCATCAACACAAGCATTTATCAGGTTCTTGAATGCCTCCATTGCTGCATAAATAGCCTCTTCATGTTCTGACGCCAAAATTTCTGCCACAGTAAAATGTAAAGAATCAAACTAGATCAGCTTTGCCCCTTTTCTGTTAACAACAAATAAAAAATAACAAACCAATTGCAATCAAACTTGGTAAACAGAGTGATAGATACTGACCTTTGAGTGCATTGAATTTGAATATAATGGGAAGCTTAATAACACATGTTTGCTTATGAAGAGAATATATTTTTATCATCCCCATGCTCAGCAATCGAGCATTGAAAGTTAAGGCAACTGCAGACTTTTCATCCGTGGAGACAGAAAGAGCCACTGAACATAACAAGTCAAGCACTGAATCAGCTGAAACCTCTTTAGTTGGGTGGGCACAAACTACATAGAGACTATCAGTAATTCATTTATCAACTAGAGGTTGGTGCAGTTCCAAAAGAGTTTTATAGTACTTCAGGACTGTTGTCATGTACTTCATGGACATAAGAGGAAGACAGTCCTTAAAAGCATCTAAAACATAGAGAACCTCATGAACTCCTCGAGGCCCTTCGTCAGAATCAGCCTTTGAGCTCTCGGAAAGAAGAAGAAACCCCTCAAAAACGTTTGTAATCCCTTCACTTGCAGGGGCCAGTGCTGATGTTCCTTGGAAGACTTGTAGGACATCACGAAGACACAAATGTGCTTGCTTTCGAACCTATTTGAAAAACAGCAATACTTACTTCAACATCAAATGGCAATTTGATGGAAAATGGAAAGACAAACATCATCGAATTAAATTTCAACTACGAAGGTTTCTGATACACCAAAAAAAGGGATGACTAAAGGAGGAACCTTTGAACGCGAGTCGGTAACATATCCCAAAAGAACACCATACAACTGCCCCAAATTGGACCAATTAGCTTGGTCTCCAGTTGTCAACAAATGTGATATGCATTTCAAACCTGGCAGCACCAGACCATCCGTTACTGAGCTCATCCTTAGAGCTCCAACAACCGTCTTCCACACAAAATTCCCACTTTTCTTCACAACGCCAGCCGGAATCGTCGGAAGGACGAGGGAGACGATGGTGGTGAAAGATTGGACAACTTTATGAGGAGGATCAGTGGTGGAGAGGAGGTGGTCCAGTGAGGATAGAGTTGCACCAAAATAGGCAAGAGCAAGAGGGGTGAGAGTGATGTTCTGATCTTTAAGCTCCTGAGCCATGGTGCCTATTGTTGCACACAGGTGCTGGTGTTCTTGTGTCGAGTTGGAGAAGTGAGAGAGGATCGACTCACAGAACTCATCAGCTGAGGATATCACAGTGCCCTCCATTTCAATGCCTTCCATGGTTGAAAGAAGCATATATATTTATATATATGTTACTGTTAGACACAGAAAGCACCTGCTAGCAATGTTGTAAAATCTGGGATTGGATGCAACCATGTGAGGCTGGTGGTTCTTGGCACTAGCGGTTCAACCTGGCGGTTCAACTACGTTGATGTCAACATGATTTCATAACTAATACTAATTATTCATCTAAAATCACGTAAAAATATAACAATCATGGAAAGGTGTAAAAGCATAAAATAATGGCACTACGCAACGTAGACTGGATACAACAATTATAATTAACCTCAACCTCATCCTCCAAAACAAATATTAATTAATCTCTCTGCTGCTATTTATTTGTCCAATTATATCATTATATGTTACATAAAAACATTATCTAGTTATGTGTTAGAGTTGGTTATATAAACGAATAAATAGAAACCAAGGCCATTGTAAACATGTATAGGAAATTGTAATTTATTTCAAGCGTTAATCCCAAGTCATGTTCTTAAATCTTCAACTATCCACCGGTTAGGGATACAATTATGATTAAGATATGGTTGCACTCAATTGGAGCTTATACAAATACAATGCATAACTGAGAATCGCACTGTTTCTTAGAGATATAAATTTATTTTTCATCGTACGTCAGAGGTGCAGCGGAAGGTCGGCGAAGAGGTACTGAATTTTCGCCTGTAAATTAGAAGTAGACAACAAAATAAAAATCTGGGAAACTGCCGCCTGAGCTCGATCAAAACAGAGGGGCAACGGAGGGCGGGCGGCTGCGTAAGAGAGAGACGGAAGATGGTGAGCGGCAAAAGGCCGTTGGAAATTCGTTATGCCGATTATTTTAGAGGCAATTAAATTAAGTAGGGTTTTTGTTCATAGAAATAAAAAATAATCAGGGTTTACAGTTATTTGTTGGTATTGAAGGGGTTTAAAAGGACGAAACAAGTTTGAGAAAGTGAAGGGAATGCAAATTTTTTTATCTAATCAAATTAAGATATTGTGTTAAAATCTTAATTTAATTGGATAAAAAATTTTCTGCTTTCTTTTATTTTTCTAAAACTAAACAAATTATAAAATTTTTACATAAATTTTTTTAATTTATACTTTTAAAGTGTAATTACTTCACTTTTTAGCAATTAACTTATAAGGAAAAATAAATATATATATATAAGTGTTAACATTAATGACATGTGTGTTAATTTAGTTGATTTTTTTATACATTAGATGATAGATTATAATATTATATAATAAAAAATAACCTTCCCCTTCCAAAACTCTTCTCCACCCATTTCAAAATTTAATTTATATTTAAAATCTTGAATATAAAGTATAAACACTTAAAAGCTCTTAATCATTAAGACTTTTTCTAGGAGACTTTAATTAGTTGTTATAATTAAAGGGTTTATTTTGGGGCACACGTTTGAGTCTCATTAATTGTAATGATTATAACTAATTTTGTATAAATTTTCATAACAAATTCATACATTTTTACAGATTTTAATGACAATATTATATTGTATTGTAATTTATATTCTATTTTAATTAAATTTGATATAAAATTTTTTACAAATTTAATTAAAAGTACCATAATTAATGATGCTTAAACTATATTTTAAAGACACAAATTAAAAAATTTCATAATTAAATTCAAATTTTATTTTTTATATAACTTAATTATTAAAAAATATATTAATTATATTCTTAACATGTACCTTTAATTAAAATATATGTTAAAATTTTACTTTTATTATTAATAATTTTTATATTAATAAATATCAATCTGGTTGAACTACAAATACAACCTGAAGAGAAAGATGAGAAATAGAGATAGGAACATACAAAAATGGGCTTAATTCAACTATTAGTTTATTAATTATTAACTTAATTTTATTTTAGTCTAAAAAATTAGTTTTTTTAGATAAGGGGTTTGTGTTTGTCCGCCTTATCTCCAAAAAATTAGGAGGAAAAATGACAAAAAAAGGTCCTAATTCATGCTTTAAAAGTATGATATTTTAGTCTTTTTCAATATGTATTTATTAAAATGACATAGTTTTGGAATAATATTTATCTTAATCTTTAAGAGATAAGGCGGATAAGTACTATACTTTTTAAATAATTTATAAACTTTTGTAAAATATTTCATGATAGTCTAATATACAAAATATTCATTAATTTTAACAAAAAAAAAGTTAAATTAAAATTAAAACAGAATAATCTTAACTAGTAAAGTAGTTCATGATAGACTATGCAAATTATTAAAATATATCAATAATTGTGGTTTATGTTATAAATGACAATTGTTAAAAGGGAAAATTGAAGCAATATGTGACTAAGAGCATAGCCCTTTAAATAATGAAAAAGAACTTATCATTCTCGTAAAGTTTTATCTTAAAATTAATTTTAATAAGTAAAAATTTACAAAAGATATAGTTAAAAATTAATTTGATTAAATAAAGTGAAACTATTGATGAAAAATTAACAGATTAGATTAAACTGAATAAAATTTAAAAATAATAAATGATTTTGAAAGTATCCAAAAATAATAGATAAAATAAAAAAGTACAAATATTTCTAGACTGTTTATTAAATTAATCATTAAAAAATGCACCAAATTCCTTACTAAGGATTATTTTTTCTGAATGGTGAGAAATTGGAGAACTGGGGCATAATTACAATAATCCTGTACTTGCAGCTTAAACTCTTTACAAAGAAGTCAGGGTTAGTGGTCTAGTTACATCCCACCTAATGCCGTAAGTGCCCTTAGTAAGGATTGGAGACAAAAAGAATGATTCACATTTGACTTTCCAATTTTTTGAAAAACAATAACAACGTAGAAAACCATTCGCTCCAACCACTGTAGCGATACAGTTCAAAAAAAAAAAAAAAAAAACCTACTGCTACAATAATATCGCTACAAAAGGAAAATTTTTTCCCTCCAACTAGGTATACAACCAGTAACCCTAAAACTCATGTCTCAAAAATAAAAAATTATAAAAATTTGTAAATTGGTCGAAAGGCTAAAGCAATAATTAGATAATGAGTACTTTTTTTTATATATCTTTATTACATTAAAGCAACTATCTTTAATTTCTTATCTTATCTCATCTGTGTATCATACTACACGAATTTAAAATTTTTTATTTATAAAAAAAGAGGAGGAGTACTAAATTATGCAAATCATTGGCTAGATAATGGGTATTTTAATTAAGAATTACAACAGACGAAACATAAAAAAATACCGCTAGAAGACAAAGCATAGAAAAGGAAGAATGGCTATATATATGCAATGGCAAAGGGAATCTGTTTCCCTTAGTTCTCGATTGTCGAAGGCGGTTTAAGGCTTTTCATTTTTTTTGTGGGTTGCAAAGGGATGCTTTTAGTTAAAGATGATTGGGAGTCCTGTCGAAGGGTAGCTGTGAAGAAGGATGTCGATGAGTCTGGTTCTTCTCTAGTTTGATAGTTGCCACAGAAAGGAAGGCGACGAGTGGATGGAGTTGCAATCAATCTTGGGGTTGAAGACTCATCACCTATATGTTTTAACTCAACCTGCATGCTTTAAAGACACGAATCTAGAATTTGCGTGTTTTTATCAAATTCAACTTCCAAAATTTCTTTTTAAAAGTCAATTTCTAGAATATTGTAATGCATTTCTGTTAATTAAAATTATTTTTAGTTAACTTATTTTCTAAGCATTTGCCAAACACAAAAAAAAAAAAAAAAAAAAAAAAAAAATAGAAGGTAAAATTTTTAGGAACTAAACGGACCCTAAAAGAATTGAGTTTAAAATACGCAAAGCAAAAATAAGAAACACAGGCGATATTCTGCCTTTTTTTTTTAAGTCGGGAATACTCCTGGTCATGAGTTGATTCGAACGTCCTTTCCCAATTCCCCTCCACAAGAACTTTTTATTTTAGTGTTCCTAAATAATTACCCCTTAATAAAATTACCATGACGTCAATTACCACGGTCAATTATTTAAGGTTAAATGTTAAATTTAGTCCCTCAACTTTAAGAAATACACATTTTTGATCCCTCAACAATTTTTTGCATTTTTTTGATCCCTTAACTCTAAAAATTGCACAGTTTTGGTCCCTTTGTCGATTAAGTATGATGTGGCGATTAAATAATTTCATGTGGCATTGTCTTTTAATTTTTTTTGATGATGTGACAATAATATATATTATATTATGTTATAGAAATAAATAAAAATGCCACGTAGATTAATATTTATATTTTAATTAAAAACAAATAAAATTACTTTATTACCCTCACCCTCTCAATCCCTCTTCTTCCCCTTCTTTCTTTCTCTTTCTCTTTCTCTTTCTTTCTTTCCTACCTTGGGTCGGTGGAAATAGGCTGGGTTCGACGAAATCTAGATCTGTTGGGTTCCGTCGAACCTAGCTACTAGATTCATCCAAACCTAGATCGGCTGGGTTCCGATGAACCTAGCCTTGCTCGTCGTGCGAACCAACTTTACTGGTTTTGTCGAAACCCAACCTTGCTGGGTTCGTCGAAACCCAGATTGGCTGCGTTCCGATGAACCCAGCCTTGTTGGTCGCGCAAACCAGCCTTGTTGTTTCGACGCTGGGTTTATGTTTTTTCATTTTTCTTTCGATTTCCATTCCCAGTTGTTAATAAATTTTGGAGTTGATTTACAGTTTAATTGCATTTTTGTTGGAATTTGATTAGAGTTTGATTGTATTTTTATTAGAATTTGATTAGAGTTTAATTGATATTGTTTATTGAAGGGTTAATTTGATTTGATAAGATCTGCTAGGTTTGAGGTTTTAATGAAACCCAATAGTTAGGTTCAATGAGAGAGAATTCCAAATTCTCCTTTGGAGCATTCTAAAGTTCATAGACATATTATTTTGTAAGGACTCACCCCACTAGCAGTAGAGGAAACCCAACTCGAGCAAATCTCATCACGAATTCCCTGCATTTGGTCAATTTCTCAAGTTCCCTCAAGAAAAGAGAAGAAAAAAAAATGAGTTAAGATCGGTTTTGTAGATGGAATGGAGATGAAAGAGCATTTAGAGAATAAAAAGAAATGGATTAAGATCGATTTTGTAGATGAAGTGCAGATGAGAGAGCATTTAGAGAATAAGAAGATATGAGTTAGATTGATTTTGCAGAGAGTGAAGATGAGAGACTATTCTAGGGTTCACAAACCTTTCTTTATTAGTGGTTTGCAGGTAATGTGGGACCCATTAGAGGGGTTTTGACACGGGAAGAAAACAAGTTATTAAAAAAAGTCCAGATCAACACTTTTTTAAGCTGTCCTCGCCATGTCATAAAAAAAATATATAAAAAATGTTATGTGACCAAGTTAACAGCCCAAATTGATAGAAGGACTAACGAAGTGCATTTTGTATAGTTCAGGGATCAAAAAAATGTAAAAAATTATTGAGAGACCAAAAATGTATAACTCACTAAAGTTGAGGGACCAAATTTAACGTTTAACCATTATTTAATGTAGGCCCCTACAGGGCAATCCCAATACTGTATATGTTACGTCTGACATTAATTTATCTTCCTATGGACCACTGCTCAAGCAGATATTATTCTTTATTTATTGTAATTATTTTCTTGCTATTCATTTCAGCATACGAAAAGAAGAAATAAAATTACATTAAAAGAAATGAAAAGAAAAAATATATTAAATTTTACCAGTACTAGTACCATATTAGATATCTAGACTCATTTATGAGAAAAGTGTAAACAAAAAAATTAAAAATTATCATCCTTAATTATAAACTATCAAAATTAATATTTTTAAATAAAAAATAAATAAACATCCTTATTAACATATTTCCTCCAACTTTAACAGAAGAATAAAAGTATTTTAAATATGTAAAAAAAATATTTTAAATAATTAAAAACTTAAAATTTTAAATTAAAAATTTTAAAAACAAGTAGGGAGACATAAAGGGGGAAACGAAGAAAAAGAAAAGTTACTGTACTGAAAAAGAAATGCTCTGGGAAAAGGGCTTAGAAAAGTGGAACAAAAATATCGACGCCATAAACTTCATATGCAAACCAAATCAGAACCGTCCATCGATCAAGGATTCAACCTGTTCTTGCCACGACTCTCATCAAGTCGATTAATCATGTAGAGCGCATTGCTGGTGATTTTAGCCACATTCGTGATTTTCCGTTTCACGTCGGACTTCAACTGGCCGTCGACGCCGTCAAACCCATCAAGACACGTGTCCTCATCCGTCAACGCCGCACTTACCCAAGTCTCTGCATTACTCATCTGCCACTGAAAAGTTTCACCGCGCAAGTGCTTCAGTTCCCCCAGCGTCCTGCTCAGCTCGTCCACCGTCGTCGCCATCTGCTCCACGCAGTCACTCAGCGCAGATCGCTCTTTCTTGCTCTTCCCAGCCACTTTTGTGGTCAGGTAGTTCGATACTCTACGGGCGCGAGTGAGACTCACCTTCACGGCGGCCTGAGCAAGGTCACGGGAACTGTTGGCGGGGCCAGAGTAGGTGGAGAGTGTGCGGAGGCAGAGAGTTGGGTAGCTGGCATGGACGCATGATGAACGGATCAGATTCTGTGGGTCCTTGTGTTTTGCTGCAGTGGCGGAGGAGGCGAGGAGGAACAGAAGTGAAAAGAGAGCAAATGCAAGTTGCGTCGGTGCTGCCGCCATTCGTAAGACCGGCTAACGCTTAGTGGTGTAGCCTCGGCTTGATGGAGTGATAGGCTTTATAAAGGAAAAAATAGAGGGCAAAATTACCAATTTGCCTTTTTAACATGGAAATGGTTATGAACCGGGCCGGTCCATTAGACCTCCGACACATGCCAATGCCAGCCATTCTTTTTTTTTGGATTAAATACCTGGTTTGGTCTCTAAACTTTCACTTTTGAACCAAATTTGCCCTCAAACTTCAAAAGGTACTAAAACAATCCTTAAACTTCAATTTTTGGAACCAATTTCATCCTTCCGTCGATGAAAGTGCCAAATGTCATGTTAAGTTGCCACAAAAGCATTTTTTGTTTTAAACCTTTAATGACATGCCACGAGAGATTTTTATTGTTTACATTAGATTCTCATTACTTTCGCTCCACTCCACTTTAAGTGGAACCCACAAGCATTGGTGGCAAGATCGAGTCTACTTTCATTAGTATTCTTCATTAATCAATTATTCATTATCGTTATCAAATAATAAAAACCACAAAAAAAAAATCTTTTTATTTTTTGCACAAAACAAAAAAATTTATTGTGTTCAAACCCATCGGCCGTTGGGTTCCAACCGCTAGAGCCTAGAACCCAGCCGCCACCACTGTGTTTGAACTCAACTGTTTGAACCCAAGCATGTTGGGTTCCAACTGCTATGGCCATTGGGTTCCACTTGCTACGGCCGTTGGGTTCCACTCGCTACTACTGCTAGGTTTGAAAGAACCAGTAGACCCTAAGGGGAAAGAGAAGGAAAAAAAAATTAGTTTCCTTTTGGTGATCTCATGGTGATGTGTTGATTGGGAGTTGAGAATCAACACCAACAAAGAAGAAAGGAGATAGAGAGCGAGGTAAAGATTAGAAATTGAAGAGGAGGAGAAACAAAAAGGTAGGAAATGGAGAGAGAGGCAAGAGGTCGGCTAAGATTGAAATTAGACTTTTTTGGTCTCTGAGTTAAGCATATTTATACAAACTAGAGATGGTGATTGGAGTGGTGAGGGATGATCAGAGTAGGGAGGGATGATTAGATCTGAGAGAAGAAAAAGGGTTGCAAAAGGAAAAGGTAGCGACAAAGAGAAAGAGGGGTTGGAGGATGAAGAAGGATGCATTTAAGTAATTTTAAATTTGTAATGTACAAACTAATTAAAATGATTAAGTATAACTGTAAAATTATAATAATTTGACGTGGAAGAGAAACAAATGTCATGTCATTAAAAGAGACACATTTTTTTACATGTCATTAAAAGTATATTATTTTTTAGGAACTTAACGTGCCATTTGGCACTTCCGTTGACGGACGGACAAAATTGGTCCCAAAAATTGAAGTTCAGAGATTGTTTTAGTACTTTTTAAAGTTTGAGAATAAATTTGGTTCAAAAATGAAAGTTTAGGGACCAGACCACGTATTTGACCTTTTTTTTGTTTATATATGGAAAGCCAACCATTTTAAATTGGGATATTAGTTCTCCGCCACAAGCTTATTTACAATGATGTACCCTTTTGGCTTCTTGGCTTTATGGTTTGGATCATATCCTTAGAATTAATTTGAAATCCTATCTACATTTTCCAAAATTGATACTTCCCTAATTAGAAAACTATCAGATCTTTTATTTGAAAGAAAGAATGTTGCAAAGATTTTGAAATTAGTTGAAAGATAGTTTCCCATGAGAACTAAGTTCTAGATTCTAGTAGATAATTGTTTTAAAAATAAATAGATAAGATTCCATTGTTCCAAAGTAGATGATTGTTGATGGAATCAGGACATTAGCCCCTAAATCCATCTATAATCAACCCCCTCAAATGGGTAAAATTCCACGAACATAAGAGGAAAATGGAAACCACTTGCAGATTGCAAAAACACCATTGCATCTCTAACATCTTCACAATCCTCCTCTTCTTCTATAATCAAACCCCCTAAATCCTCTATTCCCCCTAAATCACAACTCAAATAAACAAACACAAATGTTGGGTCTTATAGTTCCACAACAACCATTAATAGCCACCAAAATAATTTGGATAGCCCAACTCCTAACTCCACCTTTCCTTTGTTGCCTCAACCGATGTTTGTTTTTGCAACAAAAAATTTGAGGGTGTTTGCTTTTTATACAAATTAACTATGAATGACAACAAGGTTAAGTCTTCTCCCAGCTAATTCTAAACTATGGGATATTTATTTTTTAGTTGGTGTGTAATAAAGGGTGATGGACCATGATGTGCGTGAATCATTGTTGGTAAAAATAAGTAAGAGGGCACTACCACCCTAAACCCTAATTATCAACATTAGAGCTTACTTATTCCTTACTTAAAAAGAAGTTTAAAAAATTTAACTTATTTTTGTAGTTTAACTAAAGAATAGTCTCCACCACCAAACAAACATAACCCAACAAGTTTGACAGCTAAAGGGCAAGTTCGATTGAATTTAAAAGTAAACTAAACTTTCTTCTAATAAGTTCTTTTTTCACAAATTTAAAAATTCATTGAAGAGAAAATTTAAATTTAGCCTTTAAAATGACTTATAAACAAATTTTAAGAAAATTAAGATTTGTTTTTTCCTAAAAAAAAAAAGTAAAATCTATAACTTTCTCAAAATTTACTTGTAAACCATTTTAAAAGTCAAATTTAAATTTTTACTCCACAAATTTCTTAAATTTATGAGAATAAAATTAAAAAATTATTTACTCCACCAAACAAGCCATAAATCATATTTGTATCATAAAATTCAAATATTAATTTGGTTGCAAGGTCAACTGGTTTAGTTATTGCTTTAGGCTGAACCACACCGAACCAACCTGAGCGGTCTGCACAGTGACTAAGGTTATAATCGGAAGTCTATAAATTGGAGGTAGTAGTAAATGCACCGCAGTGATGGTAGCTTTGAGAGTCATAGCGTCGGCAAATTATTAATTGCAGGCAATTCATATATGGGTCTTTCGCCCCAATGAAAGCTCCTGTTTCCTACTGTAACAGCAGCTTACAAGGAAAGATTTATCCATTATCACTTTGTCAAGGTGTTAGCGACGAAGATTGATTGCTTCTTGAACTGGGTTAAGAAATTGGCAAAA